CGACAGAGTGAGACTCCAACTCAAAAAAAAAAAAAAAAAAAGAATTCTTAAAAAAAAAAAGGTGAATTCAGCCAGGTGCGGTGGCTCAAGCCTGTCATCCCAGCACTTTGGGAGGCAGAGGGGAGAGGATTGAGCTCGGAGGTTTGAGACCAGCCTGAGTGACATGGCAAGACTTCGTCTCTATAATAAATCAAAAAAATTAGCCAACTGTGGTGGCACACGCCTGTGGTTCCAGCTACTTGGGAGTCTGAGGCGGAAGGATCGCCTGAGCCTAGCAGGTCAAGGCAGTGGTGGTCGTGAGAGTGTCACTGCACTCCAGCCTGGGTGACAGAGTGAGACTCCAACTCAAAAAAAAATAGCTAAATGTGATGGTGGACACCTGTAGTCTCAGTACTCAGAAGGCTGAGGTTGAAGGATCTCCTGAGCCCAGCGGGTCAAGGCTGCAGTGGCTGTGAATATGTCACTGCACTCCATCCTGGGTGACAGAGTGAGACCCCAACTCAAAAAAAAAGAAAAAGAAAAAAAGAAAACGCTGAGGTGAGAGGATTGCCTTGAGTCCAGGGGTTGAAGACCAGCCTGGGCAACTTGGTGAGACCTCATCTCTACAATAAATCAAAAAATTAGCCGGGCGTAGTAGCGCGTGCCTGTAGTTCCAGCTACTTGAAAGACTGAGGCGGAAGGATCCCTTGAGACCAGCAGGTCGAGGCTGCGGTGGCCATAAGTGCGCCACTGCAGTCCAGCCTGGGCAGCAGAGTGAGACTCCAACTCAAAAAAAAAAGTCGAATTCATAGAAGTTAAAAGTAGAACAGAGGATGCTGAAGGTTGGGAACAGTGGGGGAAGGAGAGGGCAGGGAGAGATTTATTAAAGGATATAAAATCACAGTTGGATGGGAGAAACAAGTTCCAGTGTGCTCCAGCACTGCAGGAAGACTAGCGTTAACAATAATAGACGTACAGTTTCAAGTCGCTAGGAGGAGGATGTTGACCGTTCCCAACACAAAGACTTGATACCTGTGTGTGGCAATGGATATGCTGATTAGCCGACTAAACGTCAGTTCAAAAACACAATTAAAAGACGATTTTTAACTGAGGTGATTTTTTTTTAAAGGTGGAGTGAGATCATCTATGTGAACATGAAGACCAGTGCGTGGCTCCTGGACGACACTAAGGGAAGGCTATTGTTCTTCAGCTATCGTCTCTCTTAAGTCATTCTGACCTCGGTGCGTCAGACAGTAGACTTGGAAAGGTTCTGAGTGGTAGGCTGTCAAGCTTTCAGAAAAGGCTTTGTTGGGATCTGACATCCTAGGGGAAGCCTCCTACCCTCCGACGAACCCCGCGACCGTGTGCGGATGCAGTGACAACCGCTTGCTTAGGCAGCAATGAATGCAGCGGGACTGTGACTGAGCCCAACTTAGAACTGGAATAAGTAGAATCGAAGAGTTTTCTTACTTTGAGCCACAATGGGGGCCTAAGAATGTATCTGAGGTTCTCTCCCGTTTCATGTGATTGTTCTTAGGGATAAAAATACACTAAAGTCTTCTGTTTTTAAACAATTATTAGCCACGCTTTACAGGCTCGTTTTCTGAAGCGCTTTATGTTTGGCTGAGAAGACGGACTCTTTTCATTTGTTTTTTGAGTCGGAGTCGCACTCTGTCACCCAGGCTGGAGTGCAGTGGCATGCTCACAGCCACCGCGGCCTCTACCGGCCGGGCTCAGGTGATCCTTCTGTCTCAGTCTTCCAAGTAGCCGGAACGACAGGCACGTGCTACCACACCTGGCTCATTTTTTAAAAAATTGTTATTATAGAGATGAGGTCTTGCCGAGTTGCTCAGGCTGGTCTCGAAACTGTGGACTCAGGCAATCCTCTCACCTCGGCCTCCCAAACTGCTGGGATTACAGGCTTGAGCCACCACGCCCAGCCCAAGACCAATGCTTAAGGGCTCTAGAGTCGTGCTGCACCCAGCTTTCTCCCCTCCCTTCATTTTGTCCAAAGTGACACAGTCTACTTACAGCCACAGACCCTGGCGGTGCGTTGGATGCCTACGTCAGCTCAGTGGTATCACGTGGAAAACCATAAGGCCGGCGGTCTCTGCTGAGTCCTGAGCATGAGACACACATGCATGGAGAACTGGGTGATGGAGGGGAGATTCCTGCTCTGTTCAGCGCCTCATCCAGGTGATGTGGCTGGTAAAAAAGGACCGGCCATTTGGAAGCTTCCATACAGAAGAACCAAAGATCGTGAAATAAAAGTAAAGATCAGGGCTGTGCATGCTTGGGTCTACCAGAGTTAGATACTGAAGCTGGTCTCAGAGGTAAAGAACTCTCCTTTTTATTATATAACATTATTTGAAAAGGAAGGGTCTCTTCTATGTCATGCATTTAACTTTTCAGGCTCTTGTAACACTTCTGTTCCTCTTATTCCAACTATTATGACACTCCCAATTTTATTTTATTTATTTTATTTTTTGAGTTGGAGTCTCACACTGTCACCCAGACTGGAGTGCAGGGGTCGCTCCCGGTCACCGCAGCCTCAACCTGCTGGGCTCTGGTGATCCTTCCGCCTCAGCCTTCCAAGTACTTGGAACTACAGGCGCGTGCCAGCACGCCTGCCTAATTTTTGATTTGTTGTGGAGATGAGGTCTCGCCAAGTTGCCCAGGCGGGTCTCGAACCCGCGGGCTCAGGCAGTCCACTCACCTCGGTGAGACTCTGACTCAAAAAAAAAAAAACTTGTGCCACTCATTTTTCACCTCGGATACCCATACGTGTGATAGAGTGGTTAAGATCATGGGCCCCAGAGCCAGACCGTCTGAGTCCCTTTTATCTCTCTCAGCCTCAGTTTACTCACTTATAAAATGGGGACACGAATAGCACCTCACAGGCTTACGGTGACCTTTGATTATATACGTGTGTGTGTATTTTATAAGTGCCACGTAAGCATTCGTTTTTATTGCACGTAGAGAGTTTGCTTTCATTAACCGGACAAGGTCCCCTGAGGAGCTAGATGATGTGGGCTTCCCAAGAATTTATTCATAAAACGTTGTGCATCCATTCTTTCATGTTTAAACTTTAGCCGCCTTCAGAGGGCTCTCTGTGTGATGCAACACACCCATCGAAACGCTGTTTCCATTGCGCGAAACAGTTTTTGAACTCATCAGTTTTGCTGCCTTTGAGTGCCTCTGCCTGTTTCGTGTCCCTTCTTCCACACTGGCACGTTTCCCGTCGAGGGCTCTTTTCTTTTTGGAAATTTTTATTGTAAAGATGCAGGGCACATTTCAGGGTGAGAAATACAAACATTGATCATGCAGGTACCCTTGTGGATGAGGTGTGCCCCTCCCTTCCCTAGCAGTTTCCCTCAAGTGCCCATCCCACCCCCACCCCGGCAGTTTCCCACGACTTCTGACAGCATTATAATTGTTCCAGGTCTGTAGATGAGTGAGAATATATGGAACTCTGTTCTTTGTTTCTGTCATAAATCACTGAGTATGATCGACTCCAAATCCATCCAGGTTGCTGCAAGGACCCAGCAATTCCCCTCTTGGGAACATACCCAGAGGAACTCAAATCATTCTACAAAAAAGACACCTGCACACGTGTGTCTGTTGCCGCTCTAGTCACAATAGCAAAAACATGGGACCGACCGTGTTGCCCATCGAAGCTGGACTGGATAAAAAAAAATGTGGTATATACACACGATGGAAGATTCTACAGCCATAAAGAAGGACAAACATATGAGAACGTTCTTCATCCGGGGAAACAAACAAACACAAACTCACTATGGGCGAGATCGCGTGAACAGAGAGGGTGGGGCAAAGGGGTCATGCTGTTTTTGGTCAGAAACTGCTGAACACTCAGCAGGGGGCGGGCAGGTGCGTGGCCACGGTAGAAGAACCAGTCACCTGTTTGCCGCAAAAAATTTCACTGAAGCGGAATGCAGCCTCTCACGACAACGTTAGCTGGCACACCGATGCCAACAGGTGCCTGCAGCACTCACCTCAGGAGGGAGCTTGAACTACAAGGGGCCTGTCCTCCAAAAAGATAATTCTGGGGTTTTTTGGGTTCCCTTTTGCCTTAAAAGTAAAGGTCATACTTTTAGTCATCAGTCACTGCCACTTTAAAATTACATTTTTTTTAGTTCTTCAAGGCGCTATAATGGTTCACAACTTGCTTTCTTCCACTTCAAATAATGAAAGAATTTGGTATTTTTTTCCTAAACAGTAAAAAAAAAGTTTAAAAAATGAAGATTAAGGTAGTGTGAAACTCAAGGATTTTAATCTTCTTTCTAAATTTTAACTGATACTTTGAAAAGCAACCAATTTGCGAAGTAAATTAGAGACAGTGTAAACACAGCAGTGCTTAAAACATTGCCTTAAATCACTGGTATTGATCAAAACACAATAATGTAAACTCTGAGACTTTGTTAACAAGTTTTCTAATTCCCTAGAGGCTGAGTCTCATGAAAAATGCGTAGAACAATAGAAATATTCCATTCTCTGCCAATCCCTAACTAACACAGCACTGAGTCTTGAAATTATTTTTACCTAGTAATTGCAAGTTCACAGTACATTTAGCAAGAATAATGGCATCTTCACAAAAGAGGTAAAATTCTAGAGCTTAGTTAAAATGTGAACACTTAAAAGTGTTCATTCATTTAAAATTCCCATGAATGATTTCCCAAGTCATTTTTAGTTTAACTTTGGCTGACATGGTATTTCAATTATGTTCCCATACTAACTTACAAGAGAAAGATAAAAATAAGCTGGCCACTTGATGTTTTAAGTACATTTAAGTTAAGATAGCTGCGATGTTTTAAGTTAAGAGGAACGAATGTAGACAGTTGCTGTGCCCAAGTGTCAGACCTGCCTGACTGTTGAGAGTTTTCTGGGAGGAATGAGGTCTGAATCACAGCCCACGATGCCGGCTGCACAGGGAAGACATTCATGATGCTGCCCAGAGGCTCAGGCTATCAGACCCCCACAAGCCGTGACCACGCCCTCCTCACCTTCAATGAACACCTCAGCAGATGTGGTGTCTGAGCCGCTGGGATTCGTAGCCAGGCAGGTGTAGCGGCCTGTGTCGTCCTCGAAGGCCTCTGCGATGACCAGGGTCTGCAGGCCGCCCGCCTCGCTGCGGATGCGGATATCAGGTGTGTCTAGAAGCTCCTTCCCTTCGCAGAACCATCTGCCGCCATGTGGAGGTCAGAGGGCAGGAGAGAGAGAAAGGAAAGGGTGATTTTATTTTTTTTATTTTTATTTTTTGAGTTGGAGTCTCCCTCGGTCGCCCAGACTGGAGTGCAGTGGC